TGTGTGTGTGTGTGTGTGTGTGTGTGTGTGTGTGTGTGTGTGTGTGTGTGTGTGTGTGTGTGTGTGTGTGTGTGTGTGTGTGTGTGAAGGAGATTATGAGTTGATTGAAAGTGTTTTGTACCTTTTTTCTTTTAACTATGGGGTGACCTTTAAAGATACCGATGATTACATCTGCTGCTTGTTGCTAGAAATCAAACAAGAGAACATATCAGAAGGTGACGTTTTAATAATATGAACATGTATTTCATCCTTTAAACTCAAAACCATCTGGACCGGGGGTTCCCAAACTTTTCCGTGCCATGGCCCCCAAACAGCATTAGCTTCTGGTCGAGCCCCCCACCTCACAAACACACAAACGATGCTACAAAATATGTGAAGAAACATCAACTTTTAGAATGTTTTAACTTTTATTCACTATATTCAATTAATTATTACAGATGCTGAGCATATATATATATTTTTTATTAACTAACATGTTTTAAACACAGAATTATATTCCCACTGAAAACAACAACTTTTCAACAAACTGTTGACGAGAAGAACAAAACTAGATAAATCTAACCTCTCTCTCTCTCAAGTGTGTTTATCTGGAAATGACAGATACAGATTGCCCTAGTGGGCAATTTTTATTATTATTTTTTTTTATTTTTGCTTTTTTGCTGCCTTATCTAATGACTGCTGGAGACAGTCACCAGCTCCCCACTACTCTGGATGGATGGATTAAATATTTCAAATATAAGTTTTTATTGTCTTTATGAATAACCTGTGAGTTTTACGTAATTACGATTTTTCCACTGGCACCAAATGACCTTGCAGGGTTTATTGCCCCCTCAAGCTCACCACTAGTGTGCCATAAAAATACACCGAAAGAGTCTTGTTGAACACTTTAACGTTTAAAGCAGCGAGCTTTTGCCTCCCCAGAGGTCCTTCTTGGACTTCAGATCATCATCATTATATCTGCGTTTTAAAAAAGGCACGGTACGAGCAAACCTTCCTCTGATCTGCATGAAGCTGCAGTTTAGACTGCGTTATCTGAATCATGATCCTGCTTTAATGTGAACGCATCAACAACTTGTTCAAACAGACAAAGAAGTAACAAACTGATCAAGCCAGATGATCATCATGGAGGAAATAAGAAGAATTTAGTCCAGTGGTTGTCACTTTTTTTTAACAAGTACAACCTCAAAAAAACACCAACCTGTTCAGGTACTATCACTATGACACTTCTGGGTTTAATGTGTACTAAAACAATTCAGATGAAGTATTTGACATAAACGAGCAAAATGAATCTACTTGACTGTCTAACTTTAATTTATAAACCAAACTTATTTCTTTATCCTAACATCAACAACCTCAGTCGACTAAAAGACACGCCACATTCTGATCTCTTAAAACAGCCAAAGTTGGTCAAAGTGCTACACGGCAGCAAAACAGTACAAGTACAACAAAAGCATAAATAATAAGTGTTCATGAACAAATTAATTCAGTTTTATTACCTAACATTCAACTCTAAAGTTAAAGAAAATCAGTAAAATATGCACGATATTATCGGTATGGTATCGGTATCGTGCAGTTTTTTTTTTTTTCACCATTCTCATTTTGTCGCATGCGTTTCCTGCAGCTGTTTGCTCGTATCTCTCAGACCTACTAATAATAAGGTTATGAACAAGTATGGCTGTCTTGTCGTTTTGGGAGCCATGCATAGACCGTGTCGCTCCCCTCTGCTCATGAGACGATGAATAAATAACTCTGCCACCTCTGCTGCTGTTTGTATGACGCTCTGGACGTCCCTCACAGCACGCGTGCAACAAAGAGTAAACTCAAAGCGAGAGCGACACCTGCCCCCTCTTTCCTCTTTCACATTGAAAACGTATTTTTAGTTTTATCGATGTGTGCTCATTAATCCTGACTTCATCTTGATTAAAAAAACAAATCCACACAAATTGTTTTATTCATTTTTGTTTTGTAGGTCAAAGTGTTACATACAACACCCCTGAGTTAAAACGTTGGTGATCAATTTGAATTCATTATTATTTACTGATTATATTTAATTTTTCAGTATCAGATGGCTCAAAGTGTTTTATATATTGTGCTCCCGAGTTAATATTGCTTATCAATTTCAATTTATCATTATTTATTGATTATATTTTATTTTATTTTTCAGTATCAAATGGTGCCCTGTGATGGACTTGCGACCCGTCCAGGGTGTACCCGCCCCTCGCACAGTGATTGCTGGACATGGGCACCGGCGACCCCCGTGACCCAAAATGGAAGAAGCGGGTAAAAGATGATGGATGGATGTTTCGGCCATGTTTTTCTTATTGGAAATGACTGGAGCTCTCTTCACATCGGTCAGTCTTTGTGCTGTTTAAAACCTTTTACTGCTCATTTCAGCTTTTTTTCTGCTTTTTTTTGGCTAGTTCTTTTTTTTGTTTTCTGCTCATTTTAGCCTTTTTCTGCTGCTTTCTCAGTATTTTTTTTATATATATTTTGAAATTTCCACCTTTTATGATTCTTTTGAACATTTTCAACTTTTTATGTTTATTTCAGCATCTTTCTGCTATTTTCAGCTTTTATTTTTTTTAATAATTTTAGCTACCCTTTTCAATAATTTCATTTTTTTTATGCAGCCTCTCTCTGCCTATTTCAGGTTATTCAGCAACATTTCTGCCATTTTCTTAACAGCGTTCTGTTCTTATTTTACCTGTGTCAACAGTTTAGTGATGAAACCTTTTGAGCTGATTTCAACTTCCTTCAGCTGCTTTCATTAAAAACCATTCAGCAGCAATCATTCACTCTGCATTTTCACAGGAAATTACATTTCTCTAGTTACAATATACAACAAACGTCCCAGCCAACCTTTGAGTTTGATTATAAAGTAAAAGTACCACATTTGTTTCAAGTACTTTTAACGTGGAACCAAGATCTTATTTTGCTCGACTGACTCGTCCCTTTTTGACTTTCAGTTTTTGTTTTTGAAATCACCACAGCTCAGCTTATGATAGTTGTTTCATGGATGGTTTAAATAGTAGATCTCGAACTCAGACCTGTGCCACCGTTTTATAAAGTTAGTGGTTGAAACGTGTCGTAATCTGGAACTCGCACAATATTAGTCATTAATAATCTCATATAAAATCAATGGGAGAGAGTTTAGCTGGAAAATTGAAATAATTATATAAAGAGATGCCAACAGACATGAATTTGATGAAGAAGCCAAACATAAACCCAGTGCCAGAAACAGACGTAAATAATTAAATATCTGCAACGGATCAATGCGTCATCTCAGTCTAAACCCTTTCACATGAAAGAAGTGCAGCGGTGCGGCAGGTCCGCAACACAAACGCACTGAAACAACTTACAATGGGAGAAAAGGATCCAGGAGGGTTCAGCGGAGGTAATGGTCGTCCTATCCGCACTGTGAAGAAGGAACGTGAACACATTTAATCGTTTAAATGTTTACCTTACGTCAGCGTCGAGTGGACTGTGTGGTGTGTCTGTACCATTGTCTCCATCAGGTCTTGGACTGGACTCTGTGAGTACCCGTAACAAGCCGTCGGGTTTGTACGAGTAGTGCTCCACCAGCTGTGACAGGAAGAAGAAGTTCATAAAAAACACATTCCTTAAATGCTTTTCTTTATTTACCTATCGTTTGTTTGTTTATTTGTTGACCCCCCCAAAAAACTGAGAATTAAAGGAAGTACAGCTACAGTCAAAGTTGCAGACTGGAGGTGATGATGGTGATGTCAGGGATGCGTTTGATTTGGAGAACATGAACACGGTCCGTATATTTTAGGACAGTCCCTATAAAGCATGTGTTTGCATCTTTGGGAGGTCAGCCGACTGCAATGACCTGCCACAGGGTGTCAAACTTCTTCCCGTCTGGGATGGACAGCTTGCTGTGGTTGTCTCTGTCAATGCGATAGTGCATCACTTGGCCTTCGTGTAATAAACACAGAGCGTACGATCCGTTCTGATTTCGCTCTCGGAGCCTGCGCACAAGACAAGAAGAAGAAACAAAGAAGTGGAGTGAAGGCCAAGGCTTTTGTTGACGTTTCTTCTCACCGGTTTGTCATAAACTACAAAGTATAATTATGGTAAATGGTAAATGGACTGTACTTATATAGCACCTTTCTGTCTTATAAAGATACTCAAAGCACTTTACAACTCATTCTGTGTGCTCATTTACCCATTCATATACTTTATAATTATTGTATTTAGTTTATTCTCAGTCAGTTTCAGCTTCTTTACCCTTAGTTTCTGCTGCAGCTCCTCCCACTCTCACCTGTCATTCCTCGTTAGTTTCCCTTTAAACCTGTCATTTTGTCATCATCTTGTCCGTGCATTGTGATTCCCACTGCCATTCATGCTTTGTCTCTCCGTGCCTGAGCACATCGACTATTCATGTACGTTTTAGATTCCACGTCAGCCTTTGTTTCTTGTGTTAATAAATCCATTTTCTTTATTTTTACATCCCAGTTGCTCAAAAACGATTCCATTAGCACTGTAATAAACCCAGGGATACTTTTGCTGACTGACAAAACTCTTGTCTTTAATTAAATAACTGCATTGAATTTAATTCAGTTTATCTGTGTGGTGCCAAATTACAACAGAACTCATCTCAGAGCAGTGTACAAGAAAAGTAACAAGATTCAAATCTTATTATAAACCAATACAACCACTTATGAAATGCCAATTAATAAAACAACAAAGACTCTTTGAACGAGTACGACAGCTCTAAGTTCAAGTATTGAAAGGTTCACTCTGATCGCCGTGTTCTGTTAAATTAAATAAGGTTTAAAGAGAACATTTATGAAGAAATACTTATAAATGTATTTAACAGCTGAATAAATTAAATCATGGAATGAAAAGTTTGATATTTTCTTTGGGGGTGAAATAAACTTCAACAAGTCAGTGTAGGGTTTCATTGTGGATAAGTGGGGTTGTGTAAACGGAGATGCTTGGTGTGTGTGTGTGTGTGTGTGGGGGGGGGGGGGGGTAAGCACAATTAAAACCATCTTTGAAAATGCGATAAAATAAAAAGATATTGAATATATTTTTAGTTCCTAGCTATTGACTGTTGTGGGTTTTACTTAAAGTTTGAACTCAGTTCCCCTAAAAGTCATCATCTTTGTCATCTTCATCATCGTCTTCTCCACATCACTCTTCACTGACATCACCTGTTCTTCTATCAAGTCATGCACAATACATTTTGTTTGTAACTCATGATAATAACCTAAAAATATTGTTAATTTGTTTTATTTTTCTGAAGATTTTCTGTCATATTATAATAAAAATGTGTCCCTGTAGATAGACAGTACCAAAATGTCTTTTTTTAAATTAAAACTTATATTTAAAGTAATGCTTTGAGGTTGTGGTAGATCAGTGGAAAGCGCTGTGGTCCTGCAATTCTGAGGTCGTGGGTTCAAGCCCAGACTGCGCCATGAAGGAAATCTGATGTATTAATACCTTCATTTAGAGTTTATCAAAACATTTTTTAATGTTAACAATTGTTTTGTTTGTAAGTCTACCTAAATTAGTTTTATTATTCCACAACTTTATCAGTATTTGTTGACCCGGTGTACGTAACACTGGAAGGTTTTTAATCTACAAAAACTTTTAGATGACATTTTTTAAATGAGCTTTTTAAGCCGCCAATCCAGTTTTGGTTTTGTCTCTTTTGAATAAAAAAAGAACAACTGTTTAATGACCGGGCAGCACGGTGGTTCAGTTGGTAGAGATGCTGCCTCTCAGCAAGAAGGTCGCTGGATCAAATTTCAGCCCGGGACCTTTCCGGGTGGAGTTTGCATGTTCACTCCGTGCATGAGAGTGAGAGAGTGAATGGTTGTTTGTCTCTATGTGTCTCTGTGATGGACTGGAGACCTGTCCCCACCTCTCATACATTGACGGACATGGGCACCAGTGACCCCCCGCGACCCAAAAAGGAAGAAGTGGGTAAAAGATAATGGATGGATGTTTAATGACCAATATTTCAGTATTCCCTTAGTTTTATAACTTTTTAAATTTTATTTCTTCTTCACAATCAAAACACTGAGACTGAGAGACAAGTTTTGCTCTTTAAAGGAAAATGTTCTGTGCTGCTTATGCTGGATCTGACGTCGGCTTTTGACACTGTGGACCATCTGACCTTGCTGGACAGGCTGAAGAGCTGGGCTGGTATTTCAGGTTCTGCCTTAAAATGGTTGTCCTCTTACCTGTCTGATAGATCAGTTTTCTTGGCTTCCTCTACTTTCAGATCCCAGTCCTGCCCTGTTCATTTTGGTGTTCCTCAGGGCTCTGTTCTGGGGCCATTGTTGTTTTTGATCTATCTGCTCCCTCTTGGTCCAATACTGTCATTTTTTAAGGATATCTCATATCACTGTTATGCTGATGACATTCAGTTGTACATCTCTTTTTTACCAAATGAGGTTTCAAAAATACAAATCTTACTCAGCTGTATGGAATCAGTTAAAAACTGGATGACGGAAAGTTTTCTTCAGCTGAACAGCGAGAAAACTGAAGTAATCATCTTTGCTCCAGAAAAAACAACTGTAGTGATAAAGCAGAACCTTGGACCTCTTGGTCATTTAGCTAAGTCTTCGGTTAGAAATCTTGGGCTAACCTTTGACTCTTGTTTTACTCTGGAAAATCATATTAAGTCTCTGGTTCGTTCCTGTTTCTACCATCTGCGTAACATCGCCAAACTTAGCCATATTGTTTCCCGTCCAGAAATGGAAATGTTAATTCATGCATTTGTTTCATCTCGCCTGGATTATTGTAATGCACTGTATACATGTTTAAACAAAACCTCTCTAGACCGGTTGCAGTCTGTGCAAAATGCTGCAGCTCATCTCCTGACTGGATCATCAAAGTATTGCCATGTAACACCACTTTTAAAGCAACTTCATTGGCTCCCAGTTCAACATCGAGTGGATTTTAAGGTTTTGGTTTTAACCTGGAGAGCTTTACATGGTCAAACACCAAATTACATAATAGAACTTTTACCTCCCTACACACCGATTAGAGCTCTGAGGTCCTGTGATCAAGGCCTGCTGACTGTCCCCCAGACAAAACTGAAAACTAAAGGAGATGGAGCCTTTTCTTCCGTGGCTCCAAGACTTTGGAACTCTCTTCCTCAAACTCTCCGATCACTGGACTCGGTGATCTCTTTTAAAAGTCAGCTAAAAACTTATCTTTTTAAATCTGCTTTTGCCTGAATTTGTTTTTTGCTTTTGTTTATCTGATTCGTTGAAGCGTTTTGTGATTTTTATCTTGAGAAGCGCTATATAAATAAAGTTTTACTTACTTACTTAAAGCTTCTGCAGACCAGAATATTATTTTTGCTTTAAGTCCATATTTGTTATTGAGTTTCATCTTACCTAACGGTGTTTAACTCCACCTGTTAGCCTGTGAGCTGTGACTTGATGTAACTATTTTTATAGCTCAGGAAGTGAAAAAGAACCAGCCAAGACATTACAGCACCAAAAACAGATCAGTTACAGGAACTAAACACAAACTCCCTTAAACATACTGACTGATAAGAACTGAATTGGTCTCATTTTTTTTAAAAGGAGATATTTTTATTGTTGTTCCACTCATGAAATCCAAACTTTAGAGAAAGTCTTAAATGATTTTATGTTAACGATATCACCAGTGAGGCCATGGTTCAGTGGAAAAACAACACTAAACGGTCGATGAACAAAGAAGAAGCCACATCTTGCCCTGCTGTCATTCTTCCTCTTGTTTGGCTACTTCAGGAAGTCCTTTGCAAACCGGCAGAGCGGAAACCGCAGCGTGTATAAGTGTGTGTCTCTTCTGGTTGTTCAGCTGAGACCACTGGCTCTGAAGCTTCAAATTCTCCACAAACACTCTGCACATCCAGTCGGTGTAATAACACAACTGAAATGGGTTTTTTTTTAATTCACATGAAAATATTAAACAGAAAGCAGGTTGTTCTGTACTGGCTCTGGTTTTGAGAACATTTCATCGTACAGCGTTCCAAATTATTTTAGAACCTCCGTTTTTATCTAGAACTTCAATCTAATTGTAGAATTCAGCCCAAGTCATTAAACACCCCTGTCGTCTGTGAGAATTAAAGTCGGTCCAGGTTATTTCACAACAACAGTCTACATCCAAGCAAGGGGCAGCATGAAGACCAAGGAACGCCACACAAGTCGGAAACCATGTTGTGGAAAAGTATAAATCAGGGTCGGAATATAAAAAACAAACATCCCACGAAAGCATCGTTAAAGCCAATATTTGAAACTGAAATGATTATATTGTCACAGTAAACTCACCAAGAGAGGATCGTCCCCCAAAACTCCCACTCAGAGAAGCAATTCAGTTCAGTTTATTTACACAGCACCGAGTCACAACAGAAGTCATGTCAGGTCACTGAACAGAAACATTCACTTACATAAAAAGCAAGTTAATAACATTATTTATCTGAGGAGCAGACTGTTTTAAGTTTAACTCCATTACAGACTCTCATCTTGAGCAAACATGAAGGCGACAGTGGAAAGGAAAAACTCCCTCATGAGGAAGAAACCTTTAGCAGAACCAGGCTCAGGACAAGTGACCATCTGCTTTGACCAGCTGGGTTTGAGAGGAACAGGAAGGAGGAACAGATACACAATGGCAGGTCAAGAATCACATTTTAAGACAGAAATACTTTGTAGTATCAAATGAAAACAATTCAATTTTAACAATTAATTTAAGGAAATGAGGTCAATTTGTCCTCCAGTAGTCTAAGCCTATAACATCATAACAAGCCAACCCTAACTATAGGATTTATCAAAAAGGAAAGTCTTAAGCCCAGTCTTTAAACTGGACAGTGTGTCAGTCTCATGGACAGAAACTGGAAGTTGGTTCCACAAGAGAGGAGCCTGATAACTGAAAGATCTTCCTCCCATTCTGCTTTTGGAAACTCTAGGAACTGCAAGTAAACCTGCAGTCTGAGAGCGAAGTGCTCTGTTAGGAAAATATGGAACAA